ATGCGAGGGAATTCCTGGAAGCTTGGTATTCAGACAAGGCAGCCATCAACAGGCACACAGATGTACACACTATTCAAAAGAGGCAATAAAAAGGAAACAAAAGACCAGAATACCTCCTCACCAGCAATCATCACACAGATAAGCAGAGATTAATACCAAGATTATCACCAGACAATCAAGCAGTAAACAATACCCTAATCAAAGAACTACCAGGAGAGAACACACACACACACATGCCAACACTGGCAGGGCAAGCCACTGTATATAAACAGAGAACAAAGCCCACTCCATTCTAGCACTGAAGATATTACCTAGCCAGGTAACTGAAACATTTGCAAGAAAACAAGCAAGCTCAGAGAACCCCAAGGACACCACATATCAGAAACTATTTCTTTCATGAATCTGGAGAAAACCTGAAACAAGAGGCAATGGGTAGTGATCCCTAATGGTCACACTGAGGTTGTACATCACTGATTCTATAGTGATGCACAACCCTCAAAGAATTTTGGGCATGAAACATGTTGATTCAGGCAATGGAGATTTAGAAGGGCAAATAAAACTTTTCCTCAAATTGGAATCCAGAAAGTCCATCAAAATGACTAATTCTTGAGGAGTCAAAGGATATTGTCTCTTAGCTGGGATCTGGGCTCCCAGTTTCAAGTTGATGGCATATATGCCCAATAAAGAAACAATGCAGTTGTTTCCTCCTCCCAAAACATATCAGCAAAGTCTATGTATTTTTCTGGCAAGGCAGGAGAGTCAGAGGGCTGAGCAGAAAAGGACAAAGGATAAGGATGGAAAGCTAGCAAACAGGCTGTTGATATTGGGGGTGAGGAGGGGAGGGAAAAGAAAGTGTTCCTTGCTCTCAGTGCAAATCTGGATTATGTATTCGTAGCCAATCAATATACCACACAATAAGAACTTGAAAGGAAGCAGTAACAAAGAACAGTAAGAATTCTATTTATTGTCAGTTACAAAGCTGTAGTGTGTTGCAACACAGGAGCAGCCCAAAGAACTTACTCGCCAATTATTTCCACAGGCACAGGTTTTTCTTGTATCTGTATGGGTGAATTAAACTTTGGCACTATGGCATAAAATTGACTGTGCCCCAAGTCTTTAAGAGTTGTATCTCTAAACCTGAGTTTAAACAAAGAATGACAGAAATAGTAAAATGCACTTGCCTAATGTCAGCTTAGACAAGCTCTCCTTAATTGCCTGAGGGCCCCCTTGTTGAGCTCTTAGGAGGGGAGCCTGTGAAGTTTTTCAAAGATGTGGCTTTGGAGTGAGTTGGGTATTTGCTGGCCTGCAATTCCACAGGTGTGGCATTTAGCAGCTGATTCAGTGATTTGAATCTCAGAAGTGCGGGTTTGGGCTACATGTCTGAGAGCTCCAGAGTAGAAATATAAACCAAGATCTCGCCTGCTCCTTTGCTGAGGACAAGGATTTCTTGACTACTGCTATTTGCATGGGCTCTCCAGCACTGGAGTTTAAGGAGGCCACCAGGAGGGGGGCTGGAGTGAAGAGATGCTGTAAAACCTCCTCCCTTTGTTATTTCCTCCATGCCTCAACTCTTCCAAATGCCTATCAATTAACACACAATGTTGGAACAGCTCTTCCAAATATTCTGGGTTGCCTTGTCTAACTTCAAGCCCTTCTTGAAATTGGTCAAGCAAAGCCAAATCATTCCATCTCACATCCCTGGTAAATAATTGAAATATATCATATCATATTAATTCATGAACTCCATGGTGACCTTGTTTCAGCTTCAGTCCTTGGAACTATGGAAAATAGGCTCAACCACAAGGTGAAGATAAGAATGATGCACCAAAAAGCAGAATAAAAGAAATGATATTGAGTGTATTAACTCTTTCTGAGCCTTCAGATTTAGAGGAAGGGGGAAAGAAGGGAGTTAAATAAATAGGGAAAGTTTTATTGCACTTTGCTTTATTGTGCTTTGCAGATACAGTACTGTGTTTTTTTACAAGACCCTCCACCAGCAAAAAGATTGCAGATCACTGAAGATGATGATTAGCATTTTTTAGCAATAATTTTTTTAAATTAAGGTATGCACATTGTTTTTTAGACATAATGCTATTGCACACTTAATAGACTACAGTATAGTGTAAACATAACTTTTACATGCACTGGGAAATCAAACAATTGGTGTGATTCACTTTATTGCAGTGGTCTGGAACCAAACCTGCCGTATCTCTGAGATATGCCTGTAAAGTAAATGTAGGTTAAACTTTGGCTAAGGAAATACAGAAATTAATTTTGGGAGCTTACTGGCTGGGGCAGGGGGATGGAGAATTAATCTCAGCAGGTCACCCCACCTTAGACCGTGATTTTTTCGAAATGAGGGGGGGGGATTTTCTTAGCCTGGCTCTCGCTATCTTGCCTCTGTATTTTGCTTGCGCTAGGAAGAAACTGCCTGAAGTACATGTACACAGAAGACCTTGAGGGGGGAGAGCGCAGGGAAAAGATCTTGAGGGTAAAGGGGGGAACACTGGTTCAAACTGCCTTAAGCTGCCTTATTAGTTACAATCTATTGTTTTTGCAATGCTATAAAAACTGCCTTT